AGTTTCCACAAAAATATTAAGCAGCACAACTAAGTTTAAGTTTTCAACATTGATAATAATCAGAAATGTTTCTTGAGTAGCAAATCAGAATATTAGAAGGATTTTTGAAGATCATGTGACACTGAAGACTGGAGTAATGATGCTGAAAATACAGCTGCGCATCACAGAAATAAATTACATTAAAAAATATATTCAAACAGAAAACAGTTGTTTTAAATTGTAATAATTTTCCATTATTGATTTTACTGTATTTTTGATCAAATAAATGCAACCTTGGTGAGAAGAAGAGACTTGAAAATCTATCTATGTTAATTCAGTTCTGAATGGTGCTCAACGCTGGTGTGCAGTCAATCAGATCTCAACACTTTTGTTGCTCTTTGCACAAATCTATGCCAGAAGTCTGTGATAAAAAGCTGAAACGGTTAACAGTGTAAATGAGACCTGAAACACAAAGACACAAAGCAACTGATTCTGCATCCTCCACCATAAACATGTCAGTCTGAGGGAAAACAGATCATCAGACTGCATCATGGGTCCTCCATTAAAACTGTGACATCAGCACATATTCATCACAGTCCATTAGCAGCATTACTGCATGTGCTCTTCATACAGGACACATGAACACAAGGCAGTCTACGTCAAAACCAGCTGCATGTCTGTCTGAGGCCATCTGCAAAGAAACAAATCTCCAAATCTATCTGAAAGCAAAAAACAAATTGAAAAAATAATTTAATTACCAGTTAGTCTGGTCTTTGCAATGTGCACGGAGAAACTTTGGTCACTTTGGAGTTGCATAAAACCTGTCTATGAACAAAACAGATCTGAAATCATCTGAGGACACGGAATGAGTCACTGCTAATGACAAATAAAGCATTCAGCACAAGCTCTCCAAAGCATAAGAGCAATTTATATTAAATGCCTGAACGAAGGTTTTAATAATATAGTTTTGCATTTATATAAGTGGTCAGTTTGCAATGTCAAGCGCAGACAGGAGATTGCTTAAGACGTTTTTGCAAGTATATAACTGTTACCTTGTTATGATGTAAACATCTCTATTTTGCAAAACGTTTTTACACAAAGAAAATGGCCAATATTGTGCTTGTCCTAACAGTAAGTGAGCATATGTCATAAGAGTTTGCATGCAAATTAAACCAAAGGGTGAAAGTTTGGCCAGTTAACATGGTCTAGTTAGTCCCTGCTGGTAGATGTTGTGACTGCACAATTCTGCAGGCCAAAATATAAAATTGGGGTCACACTTTATTAATAATTAGTAAGGTAGTTAAGTTTAGGTATTGGGTAGGATTTAGGGATCTAAAATACGGTCATACAGAATAAGCATTAATATGTGCTTTATAAATACTAATAAACAGCCAATATGTTAGTTAATAGTGAGAATTGGTCCTTAAAATAAGGTGTTACCAAAATTGGATTTACTGTATCTGTTTTAGTCCACATTGGGAAGAGTATTATCATCCAGCTGCATGTAATCTGCTAAATCCAACTATAAGATATGAATATATTAAGATATTTTAAATATTAACACCATGAATTTCTGTTAAACTGCTTTGAAAATGTGTATTGTGAAAAGCACTATATAAATAAATGTGACGATGTGAAAAAGCATTTTAGAAAGAAATTCAAATTTATCTGTAAAAGTATTCTCATTAAACAATATGTTGCATGCAAAATTATACATACAAATAGATGGATTTAAGCACCTGGTTTACTTTGAGAAGCTCTCAAAAACATTAAATTGACTTTTATTCCATCTCCCGTCACAAAGGAAGCGCGATCATTTAAAACACAATAATATTCACTGATGTTACATTTAGGTTTAAAATGAACTATAATTCATTTTGACCTCTGGCAAATACAACTGCACACGACTGAACGAGAGAAAAAGGCAAAATATGAAAAACCCAGGTAATCAAAGAAATAATCAACATACACATCTTACATACTGTCAGCACTGTAGATCAGGCAGAGGTCGTGACCCTGCACCTGTGATTGGGCTGCAGCACACCTGTGCAGTTTCATTAGGATCAGAGCTGAGAGATTCATGACTGTGAAATGCTCCATACGTACAGGAAGCTAAAACCAGGATTCTGTCCAGCGTTCGCATAGTTTATCTACTAATCAACAATCAATGCTGGAATGTGTCAGATCAACATGGACTGGATTTCAGGCTTTGTTTCGGGTGATGTGGGTAAATGTGCACGTATTAGCCGTGAAACACAAGCTTCATGAGATCTGCCAACATTCACTCAGCATAAAACTCACTTTCTAGAAAATTTAAGAAATTATAGCATGGCTGGTTTGGAGTCAAGGCATGCGTTCCAAACTGTTTCTCACTGAATTAATGCATGAAAGAATGATATTTAATCATTTTCATTTATATGCACCAACATAATAATTCACAGTCATAAAAAACAACATTCACAATCAGATACTTTTACTAAAACATTTAAATACACAAAATAAATGCCATGCAGCGTGAGTGATAATGCAAATGAATCATTGAATTCTGACTGAATCGATTCATTAAAATGGGACAGTGTGAAGTGATTCACTGCAATGAATCAAACTTATCTACCATAACACTGTTTATTCTACTCAAGTTTAAACAGAGCGATGTTATTAAAACACTCTCATACTCAGGAGTCACAAGACAATTAAATCCACAAGTAATCCACACCACTCCAGTCCATTAATTAGCATCTTGTGAAGTGAAAACTGCATGTTTGTAACAAACCCCATCATTAAAGCATTTTAACTTCAAACCAATGCTTCCGGCTAAAATATGAGTCCATAATCCATAATATATGACCTTCTCCAGTGAAAAAGTTGTCTCGTCTGAATCAGGAGAAAAATCTGCACAGATCAAGACCCGTTTACAAGCCAAAACAGTCCAAAATGGTTCCGAACAAATATGTGGGTGGATTTTGATGTGAGAGACAACAGGAGATGGACTTTTACACTGGAGCAAGCGTTATTATGGATTATGGATATTTTGGCCGGAAGCAACGGTTTACAGTTAAAATGCTTTAATGATAGATTTGTTTCTCACAAACACACAGCTTTTGTCTTCTCCAGATGTTAACTGATGGCCTGGAGTGGTGCGGATATTACTTGTGGATTACTGTGATGTTTTTATCAGCTGTTTGGACTCTCATTCTGACGGCACCCATTCACTGCAGAGCATCCATTGCTGAGACACTGATGCAATGCTACATTTCTCCAAATCTGATGAAGAAACAACCTCATCCTAATCTTGGATGGCCTGAGGCTGAGCAAATTTTTACTTTTGTATCAACAAAAGCATCATGAAAAGTGTGTGCATGTACCTTGGCAGCCAGGCGCTTGACGGCCTCCTCGCGGCGCCGCTGCAGCTCAGGTGTGCTGGGACAGCTGCTGGATCGCAGGGTGTTGGTGGTGCTGGGTGGAGGGGTCGGCTGAGGCGGCTGACTCAGGGGCAGATCTGAACTCGGCTCCCCACCTGGACATGTGACAGATGAATATCCACATGAGCACGAATATCACCAGCTGCTGTGATTCTACTGAGACGAGTCAAATAGCAATACACAAACATGTCAGACTGTCTAGGATAAGCTACAATCACGGATAGAACCCCTGTTTTAACTATTTAAAATACTTAAAAAAAAAAAAAAAATTTATTTAAAAGTGGGAATTTTATATAAAAATATACTGGAATGATTTTTATGAATATACAAGCATCAAAGACATTTTTCTCTCAACTATGCATAAAAATCAATATTTGAACATGCAGTTTAATGTTTCTTGCAATTAAAAAGTAAATGCACATATGTATCACACAGCTGATAACATGCCTCAGAAAAATCAATTATGAACTAAAGATTTTTTTTTCAAGAATTGTATACTATTTATTTGTTATTCGTTTTTATTGTTCAGTTGAGACTGAAGTACACTACAGTTCAAAAGTTTGGAATCTGTAAGATTTTTTTTTCATAAAATTATGTTATTCAGCAAGGACGCTTTAAATTAATAAAACGTGACGGTAAAGGCATATATAAGGTTATAATAGATTTCTATTTCAAATAAATGCTGCTCATTTGAAATTTCTATTCATCAAATAATCATAAAACAATGGTTTTTGCAAAAATATGAAGCACACAAATGTTTTCAACATTGATAAACGTTTCTTGAAGAATAACCGACACTGAAGACTGGAGTAATGATGCTGAAAATTCAGCTTTGATTACAGGAATAAATTATATTTTAAAACATACTCAATTAGAAAATGAGAAAAATTTACGATGAAATAAATGCAGCCTTGGTGAGCAGAAGAAACTTCTTTCAAATGCATGAATAAATATTACGGACCACAAACTTTTGAACAATAGTGTCTCTCATTATTTGAAGGTAGTGAATGCATAAGACAGCTGGAAAATTGTCCATAAAACCGTTCTTATTTAACAATTCTTCGATGCAACAATTCAGGTAAGAATGATTTTACACAAGCCTTTGCTCTCATTGCGTTTCATGCTGCTCTATCCAGATTCAGGCACGTGTTGAGAAGCAATGTACAAAACTCACTTTTCGGAGATGCGCTCGGGCTGTTGGACGCGATCTGTCTCATGCGGCCGCCATGGCAACTGAGCGCCACCAGGCGGGAGATGATGGCGGTTTTGCCGAAGCCCACATTGCCCACGATGACGGACCCGGAGCTCTCGTCCGATTCGCTGGGTCTCAGGTCGTTCTCCAGCTGCTGGAACAGCCAATCACGGCCCACGAACACAGAGTCAGTGGTGATGCTGGGAACCTCAAACAGCAGCGGCTTGAGCATGATGTCAGTGGGTTTGTACGGAGCAAAGCGGGCTGCAAAAGACAGAAAACACAGGTTAACTCACATGCAAACAAAACAAACAGAACTTGTTTTGAGTTAAGCTTAGACTTTAGAAGGAATATAGCGATACTTAATGATAAAGCTATTTTACTGCAGCAAATGCGATAAAAGATCACATAATCATAGGTTTTTAAGACTACTTACACTTAACCTTGCCAAATATGTTTTAAACAGCCTCAACGTCACCCCAGAGTGAGTTTTTACTGTGTATGAGACAAAATATGTGTGAAAGAACATAAATAAGTCATAATTGGATGCTGGTATATTGTGTTGTGACATTATATTACAGACTTCCATCACTTTTAGTAGCTGTTTGTGGGAATATAAATAAACATGGCTGTGTGTGTTGGATATCTGAGCGTTACTGATATTGTGACATTAGTTTTGTATTTGAACATTTTTATCGTAGTGAATCTATAGCATCAAATAAATATATTGTGCTTGAAAAGTTGCTTTTTTTGAGAAACTGTCAAGCAGCACAAAATGTTGCGCCAGTTGTATTTAGTTAATCACTGAGTTTTTGGTTAATCTCACAAAGGACAGAGAAAAAAATATGAAATGAATTTTGCATAAAAATTAAAGCTTCACTTTATATAAAATGTATATGAGCATTTTAAATCTTGTCTGGACATTTGATTTTTTTTGTAATTAACATTATTCTCAAAGGTGGCATCTAAAAAAAATAAAGCACCTTAATGCAATGATTGTTTTATTTAAATCAACATAAAGGCAGAAGAACAAATCATGATCTATAAATATATTTTAGGGTCTCAATTCGCATGTGATGCATGTCTTTCTTGTGGCATTCATAAAATTATATATACATACTTTTTTAGGGGGGGGGGGAGTCCAGAAAAAAACAAATGTACTGAAAACTCACCTGTGAGTTCATGAAATCTTAAAACACAGTAGAAATACATAATAATAAATCAAAGGCAGTCTGATGAAACAAGCCTGTGCTGTAAAATAAAAATAAAATAAATAATATTTAATAGTTCTGCTGCTGATAATGCTTAAATATGACTTCAATAAAATATTGACATGTACAGAACAAACAGTGATATTAACTATTTGCACACAGATACGCATGTCAGTGCTGCATTTCAGATTAAACTGAATCTATCTACCCTCACACACCGGATACATGGCCTGCAAAAACTGGAATAAAAACCACTAGAGCTGAATGCTGCACTGATAGGAGCTGATGAATCTCTGCTGCCACTGGCTGTGATTGAAGCCAACCTCTGATGTTCCTCATTATTTATCAGAACATTCAACAAGGTCAGAATAACAGCTCAACACTGACACACACGCAGCGGCTCCTCCAGAACACACATCAGCTCGACCCTGCAGCGTTTATATAAGAGAAAGAGACGAACAGATGGACAGAGAGGGAAAAAATGTAAACGCACACCTAAATGTCGAACTTATGAAAAAAAATATCTAAAAGCGTTAAAAAAAAAAATCTAATCAAAAGAAGATTTAAGAAATAAGAAATTCTATTTTTTACATAAAGAAAATTAAGTTCAATTTAAACCTTCTTTTTGTTTTTTGCATGAAGGTAATAAGTATTTGGGGTGAAAATGTCATGCAAATTATGCCAGACTAACTACAAATATTTAAATATATATCAAATAAAAAAAAAATCTAAAATAGGCTTCATTTTCTTCATGCTTTTCTAGGGGGATTGGGATGTTTCATGAGGTTTCTACATAATTCAAGAGGAAAACTAAGCACATAGACACAACTGCATGATGGGATTGTGGATGTACCTTTGTCGTGTGGAGCTCTGCCGCCGGTGTTGTGCCAGGGCAGGCGGATGGACGTACGCAGGGGGGTGTTTCGCTGTTCATCAAGATAGCTCAGATCCTCCAGCTTAGTGGAGCTCGTCGCTGCACAAAACACAGAGAAAAACAGCAGCTTAGCATTATGGGTAGAATCAATGCATAACAATAAGAACAAGATCAAGCGTTCAGCAGTGTTACATTAGTCTTATTTATTATCCGTTTTATATATATATATATATATATATATATATATACATACACACAGCTTTATACATATATTTTTATTTTAATTAAGTTTCATTAAGTTTTAATGATTTTGTTGTGGGCTTTTTTCTTTTTTTGTAAATATTTCTATTTTTATTTTTATTTCAGTTTTAGTAATTTTAGTACTTAAACTATTTTAGTTAGTTGCCAAGGCCATTTTTAATGTTGGTATATTTTTCATTTTTATCTTATATAATATAAAAAGATTATAAAAAGATTTTTTTCAGTAATTGAGATCTGAAAACGTTTTAATAGTTTTAGTTCTAGTTAACAATAACAAGCAGTGAAATCACGGTCACTAGTGACCAGTGACACTAAACTGAATAGCAATAATTACTATTTCCAAACAGGTATTATGTTTTTTCTTTTTCTTTTAAAAAAAATTCTATATTTAGTCCTATTTCTAAATATAGAATTAATTCTATATTTAATTTATTTAAATTCAGTATCAGTTTTAGTAATTCAATTTAAACTATTTCAGTTGCCAAGGCAATATTTCTAGTTTTTTTTTCATATCATTTTACTTTATTTCAGCATTATTTCAATAGCCAAAAATCTTTTTTTTTTTGGTAATTGAGATTTGAAACTATTTTTAATAGTTTTAGTTAAGTAATGAAATCACTGGCCCTGCTATTTAAATGCATAAACGGTTCCACGTTTATGGTCAATGCGCAGCGGTTGCATTGACCATAAACGTGGAACCGTGGAGAGAGAAAGATGAAATCATCCCGAATGGGGAACAGAACCAGGTCGCTGAGCAAACACACACACACACACAGACCGAACAATTAGAGACATTTCAAAAGCAACACAACCCATTTAAATCAAAGAGAAGTGGAAAAACTCAAAAAATGCAAAAGCCAAATCCTGCAATATTTCACTTTTTTTCAAGCTGTGTGTCAGGAGCATGTCATTCCAGTACACTGCCTCTAATGTGCATCCATGCATCGCTGCCTGAAACGAATGCACCAGCAACCTGTTTGCTCTGAAACTACTTTTCACACTCGCACCGAAGCTCTCGATACTCACAGACTGACGCGTTCTTCAGGCAAAGACAGACGCAGCTCCGCAAACCTCTGCTTCCCTCTCTCTCCTCAGGGCACCTCCATGTTCACCCACCGCTCTTTCATTCGCATTCAACTGGTGAACGGCACCGCAGACCGAGTCTCTCTCACCGGCTTCACCGCATCGCTGAACACATCCACAAAGCATCAGAGAAAATCACAACCGCAGCGCTCCACTCTGCAATCCCAATGAAAGAGTGGACGGAAAAAAGGAGAGAGATGAAACGGAGGAGGAGGAAGAGGTCTCTCTATCTCTCCTCTCCTACACAGCGGCTGATTGCAGTTTGTAGCGGGCAGCCAGAGGAGAAATAATCTATGATCCTCCCAGAGAAAAAGATAGAAAGCTAATAAAACAGAGCTGAAGGAGAGTTTGGCCAGGAGGGAGACGGGTGATGGAGGGAGGAGCAGAGCGAGTGAGTGAATGAGCAAATCAGCTGCACCCCTGCTGCATTTCTCATTCACTTTCAGCTTTAAACAACCTCACTGTGCCACACACAATACTACAGACTAGGGCTAGGCAATATGACAAAAATACATTTTTAAGAATGTTTGACCAATTCAAGATTTCGATTGATTGATTTTTTATTTTTTATTTTTTTACATTTAACTAGTCGACTTCAAGACACATTTTCTTTATTAACCATCTAGTTAAAGAAATTTCTATTCCAAGTTCACCACACATGTGTCAACATGGTGTAAATGTAAAACAAAATCACTTGTTAAATATATTTGCAGAAAAGATGCATGAAATATAAAGGCAAAGGTTGTACAAACTTGTCTTAAACATGTCATATGTTCAGAAATAATACAAGAAAAATGCTAAAATTCATAACGACCACAAATGAATAAGGATGCATTCAATTGATCAAAACAATTCCCAGTTCAGTTCTGGATGGTGCACAAGCCTTGTGGAAAAAGCACCGTTACCTTTTTGAAATAATACTCAACTCAACTCAATTTTATTTAGTTTTGACTTTCAAAACTATAGAAATGGACCAAAGTGCTGTACACAAGTAGCATTAAATCTAAAAAACATAGAATATTAAAACACAACAGCAAAAAACATAGAACAATAAGACAAATAGGGTTGAGTATCGTTTGGGGGTTTTTTCGATACCGGTGCCAAATCGATACTTTTAAAATGGTTCCGGTGCCTAAACGGTGCCTGAACTGATACTTATTAAAAAAATTATAATAAATAAATAAAAAATTCCCCCAAAAAATTATGGATTGGCCATTAGAATAGAAATAGAATAGAGAGTGCACATGTTATAAAAAAAAACAAGCAGATAAAATTAGAAGTAGCATTAGAATAGAGAGTGCTAGAGTTAGAGGGTCAAATGAAGATGAAAGAGATGTGTTTTCAGCCGTTTCTTGAAAATATTAAGGACCCAGCTGCTTGGATTGAGCTGGGCAGGTCGTTCCACCTGGAGGGAACAGTTCATGTAGAAGTCCATGAAAGTTTGATCATAGGTAGAATGCAAAATGTTTCAATACAAGCATTTCAGTCCAATGTAATTATGCAATATTTCAAACCTTTAACCCACTTGGGAAAATCAACCCATGGCAACAGATTAAAAGTTGACAAATATCTGATCTTGTAAGATGTGCTCCCTTTAGACCGAGTGCGTGTGATCGCGAAATCGAAAGTGAAAGTAAACAGCGCAAACGCTCATTCAAAAATATTTAAATACACCGCATCCTGAGAGCGGCTCCCTGATGCGCCAAAATTATATACAATATTAGAATGTTTAAAGGAGTGGACACGAAAATCGCGGGAGCGAAACACATGTTGCGGCAATGGTCAGAGATTCAGCGGGAGTGGGATTAAGAAAACAGCCGAATCCTGGACATTTTGGGCAATTAAGAAATCCCGGCCGGACGCATTTTTGTAGATCCAAAAAGAGGACATGTCCGGGGAAAAGAGGACGTATGGTCACCCTAATTTATAATCTGTTGCTAATCGATGTATTCTTTTTAAAGTAGCATATGGAACATATTTTCTGCCTCATTCTGTGACAATGAGTTCACTTGCGTTTTCTCAGTCGGGAAATAATTTTTCACGTGCGGTGCTGCGTTGATGTTTCTTACTCCGTTTCGGAGAACCAGAGGACAAATATTTCAATCGATCGCTCAGGCATGGCACCGAAATGAGGCACCGAAATCTGCATTCGGATTCCGTTACATAGGTACCGGTGCCATATTGGTACCGGGTTTTGGTACCCAACCCTAAAGACAAATCATTCCCAATTGTCTGACCAATCAAATGCCGGAAGCCTGGTAAAACAAGTAAATCTTAAAGTCCTTTTTAAAATTGTCTATGCTTTTATAGATAATAACAGTGCATTCCAAAGTACCGGGGCCGCAACAGAAAAAGTGACGAGATCGTGGGACAGTTCAAAACGGTCAGTGATCAATGCCATTGGTAAGGGGGGTTTAACATATCCCGTATACACTCAGTCAGGAGCCTGATCATGAAATACATTAAATGTATTCGATATTTTACAGGTAGCCAGTGCAAAGATACGAACACAGGTGTTATATGATCCCGCTTTCTAGTGTTTGTTAAAAGTCTCGCTGCAGCATTCTGAACACACTGAAGACGCATAACCAGACATTCACTAATTCCTAAATATAAGGCATTACAATAATCCAACCACGTTGAAATAAAAGCATGTATGTAAATCAGTGCGGCGGTAGAGGGTTTGCAGATATCAAGCCCTTCTCTCTTTCTCCTCACAGGCCTGCTATCGATATGAAGCAGCAGTTAGGAAACATCTATGTCCTTTCATTTCTGCCCCTCTCTTTCACTTTTACACTCTCTTCTCTGTCTCAGAAGATGGAGCAGATGGTGTTTCGGCAAGAGATGAAATTCTGCCGTTCCTCTTCTTTGCACTGTGGTCTTGGGAGACTCGGCAGTCACATGCGCTGGCCACAATTCACCACTCAACAACTGGCTCCTGTTCAATCCATGAGTGTGAATCTGAATTTAACTGGTCACGTCGCATAGGATGTTGAATTGGAATGACGAGAAGAGGAATTGAAAGAAATTCACGGTGACACAACAGAGGAATTGTCTTAGTCCAACACAAGTAACAAACAACTTAACTTATTTTTCTAAAGTATTTTTCAGCACAGTCAAAACAAATTGCCAAAATAACAGCTCTGTGTGTTTATTATTTATTATGTATTATTTATATATATATATATATATATATATATATATAGGTATAGTTATGAATTATACAATAATACAATTATATTTTATACATATATTTGTGTGTGCATATAAAATATACTTATATTTATAAAAAATTAAAATAATGTAGTTATATATAATATGCATGTAAATATAAATAGCAATATATATATAAATATAA